CCCCCCCCCCCCGCCGGGGGGAGGGACGAGGGGAGGGCGGGAGTTCCGCTGCCCGCCAGAGGGAGCCCGCGCTCGCCCAGGGTTGCCGTGGCGACGCGACGCCGCCACTAGGAACCGCTCACTGCCCTCCCCCCCCCGCTGTGGTGACCGCCTCTCTCTGCTCCCTTGGGGAACTAGCCCCCATTAGTCACAGGTGGAGCCTATTTTAGGGAGGAAAAAGGTCACAGAACCCCACAAACCTCGAAATATAGCAAAGGTGAAGAATCCCTGTGACAAGTGAATGCAAGTCTAATGTGCAGTCCAGTGAGTGTTCGCATCCTCCTCCCTCACTTGCTACTTGCGTTACACACCCTTACCAAAAGCAAATCAACGTAACAATATACAATTGACAAAGTGTACACACCTGTTCAGAAACAGCACAATATTTATTTAACATCTTTATATATTTATATATATTTATATATATAATTCTTTTCTCCTTTGCAGATTGTTTAGTTTTATACATCTCTATTTACAATGATTTAAAATAATTATATTTCATCTCTGGAAGGTATTTACAAAGTCAATAGTAACTACATTTCACATTTCAACAACAGTCAACAGCATTAACCAGTTCAGTAAGACAGTTAAGATAATGGCTTACATGCACCACTAACATGATCTTCAATACGTGCCATCTTCAGGTCTAAGAATGAAGATTTTCCCTGGTCCCAGGTTAAAGGACATCATACAGCAGAGGTTGTGGTTATTAAAAACCCATTTGTTTTAGTCCGGCACCAGTACTGAATCCTGAATGTGTGGGGTTCATACCAACACACAGGGTTATCCTGGTGAAAAGGGATTCAACACCACTAATCCACATTCTTTCGCCTAGCCTATTTGTCCACAAGAAGTGGGCTACGTGCTGCTTATGCTCCTCCTATGACAGAGATAAGATTACATAATGCTAAAGTAGTAAAAATCCTCAGAAACCTTAGTTCAGAGAAACAAACCTTGTATGACAGAAAAAGTAAGAAAATAATCTTTTAACCCTTGCAGAATGTTTTTTTTTTTTTTTTTTTTTTGGCCAGTAAAACTGACTGCATATCCTGTATTGTCACAAGGACAATACAAATCAAAAGATTCACTGTCAAGTAGAGGAAATATAAATTTAAAAAACGCAGCATGGGGTATACCTCGGTTTAGCTTTTTTATAACAGATAAAAGCTACCATAGGAAATCTAAAATGTATTAAGAGTATCTGATTTAACTATTCAAAATCTTTATTAGCTTTTTCCTGGAATCCTTGATATGGAAAAAAGTTAAATGACTCAATTTTATTTAATCATATGGTATCTTTCCATAAATAACCAGCTAGCAACATCCTTCCCAAAAGTATGCACTTTCTGCAAGAAAACAGTAAGAAGTCTTGTTTCAAAGTAATCATTGAACACTGACACACAAAAACACACATACACACCCCAGTACTAACAAACTATTAATACTTTGAAAAGTGATTTATCCTGAGTGATTGCTAACTCACATCTACGATATATTTGAAGCCACAAAGTTTCTAACACTTGCATTTTTCATAAACGAATAACATGAAAATCTAGCACTGCTATAGAAACTGCCTGAACAAAAGGAACAGTGTCAATAGCTAGTATTAATTAGTATCACTCCCAAGTTCTACTAATTTTAGAGGAAAGGAAATTTCTCTTTGAACAGGTTGCTTTATTCCTACTAACTTTTCTGTTTTGTGGTCAGTTCTGGGGAGGATGAGGACCCAAACACACAGGATCCACCATCCTACTTGTAAGAAACATTCCATGACAAAGTACGTCACTTTTCCAGAAGATATTCCTAAATCATCAGAAGTCTTCCCCTCCCCCCCACCAATCCCCATTTTTCCCCTCTAAAGAAAAAAGTTAAATTCTGTACTACATTTTAATGGGTGATTAATCATCTTTTCAAGAGTCAAAATTTAAGTTACTTTGAAGTTCCACCAGTATTCAAAGTTATTCTGCTCTGAATTACCTCTTACTGACTGTAAGGCATTAAGCAGGAGCTCACAACAAAGTAGTTAGTTAATAGAACTTGGCCTAATCACTTTGCCCATCATGCACAAGTTAAAATGCAAGCCAAGGTTTTACTCTACGGACACGAAGTTTTATAGTGTACCTCTTCCTGTCAAGAATATTCTAGTAATCAATTATGATAGAAGGGACAATTATGGACCCATTTTTAATTAATTTAGTCCTCCAAATCCAATCTTCGGTAAAATCTGATGTTCATAGTAAAAAACTCAGAGGACTTTGCCTTTTTTTTTTTTTAAATCCAAAAGAAAAATCAATCAAATAATGAAAACAGAAACTGTTTGTCATTTTCTTTCATCAAATTTAGAATACAGCCACCTAGCCTGGGAGAGATTTTCATTAAATCTATTTCTGGAAGCTGCAAGGTGCTTTTAGACTTCTACAGCTTGCTTCTGAACTTTTAATTTACTTATGATAGCAGGCCTTAACACTTGCCAAACTTACCAGGCAAGTTTACCCCAAATGGTTAGCTTTTATGTTTTGCAAGCATGTTCAAAGATTTATTTTATTTTAAATAAAAACTTTAAATAAAGACTTTGTGGAAATCATCAGACATATCAACCTTTCAAAATCTATTCACTGCTTGGTTTCATAAACTAGCAATGCACCAAGCTGCACACAGCTCTCCGTCGTCCTCCGTCATCGTGTAAGAGGCAGGTGAGTACTTTGGCTCTTCAGCTGGTCATGCCATGAAAATTTTGACGGACTGATGTACATCTTCACTAACACAACACCCATACATGATCTCTTCCCACCCCGCTTCCAACCACCTCTAGAAAAGCTTTCTACAGCCAAGTTTATCCAACTGTCAATGAAAAAACAAACTAAATAATAATCGAGGGAGATTAAGGCCCATGTGCTAGAAATAAACAGCGTTTTAACCACTGAAAAAAAATTGAAAACAACCAAAAATGCAATATATGTACAGAGAAAATGCCCTTTCTTTTTACCACGCTTGGAAAAGACTCCTGTTCCGCAGCTTTAGTTCTGTGGTCATCCTAGACAAGCCACACAAAAAGCATGTTTACTGTTCTCGCACAAACTGTTCCTAAATTGTAATGGATGTTACAAATAAGCCCTAGCTAATGGATTTAATACTATATTAACCATGCCAAGGTAGCAAAATCTTTGGCAATGAGAGACTCGCAGAACGTAAGGATAAGAGAATTAGATTTAAGAACATCAGAAACATCTTTTTGTTCTGTGTGCAACACATGCATTTCATTCAAACATGTTTCATTACAGTTTTCCACACCTCCTCCAGGATTATGACTACAGTACCTAGTTTTAAGATCTTTCCTGAAAAATTACTCTTGGTTTCCACTTGGTCTTCAAAGTAATTTAAATTTGCAAGCCAAGACAAACAAAAATTTCCAGTTTGTGACAAAATTAAAGTACCTGAACACTTAAAACAGGTAGCCATCAGTTCATGAAAAAAAATAAGGTAAGTTTAAATTCTTATGTTAAAATACAGCTTTAGCATAGATCAGTCTACTCCAAAATTAAATTGTTCAGAAAATTGCATTTTGAAAGTGTTATAGATTAAACATTGAGGACACTTTCCCCGGAAGCTAATTTTTTTCCGTGAACAGTAATAATCTTTGTGAAAGAAGTGGAAACAAACTACATAGTATCTGGGGACAAAAAGGGATTAGAGATGGGGTCACCCTTACTACGGAGTAGCTTTCCTACCATTATTAAGGTGTAGGTTTCTCCCCTTAATCTGGAAAAATATGTCTATATTTACATACAGTATACACACAGTTGAGGCAATTGATTGTCAACACGTGACAAATGTATGTACCTATCCACACACAAGTAAACCTCACATGGTGAGAAAAAACCCTGTCCCAGTAAACTCCACTATTCACAAAGTAGTGCAAATAAATACTTTGCCAGAGAACAAAATATTTCTCACTATTTTGTTGCCAAAACAGGTGAATTTAATTACGTTAAAGCCAGCAAGAGTACGTTGGAAATGTTGGATTTAACTACTTAAGATCAACACACTTGCAAACTACAAATACTAGATCTGATGCTTTCTGGCTGCAACATGATGTTCAGCATTACAGAACGAAGTACGCTGTTAAAAAGCGTTTTCAAATTCACATCAGAAAGAGTGTTCAAAACAAATGGTATTTAAGATGTACAGTGAAGTACAAAGTCTCCATATACCAAAATCTAAACTGAAAGGATAATACCGCAGTTCAAATCTTCACCTTGTAACATTCATTTTAATAGGTATTTTTACTTAATCATTTTGCTGCCTGCAGGATGAAAAAATGGCTCCTTGTTCAACCAAAAAGCTGTTGTTAATAAACACCTGAAAAAGCTAATCAAAGCTTGAATTAGCAAACCCAACATTTTTTCTATTTTCCTAAAATCGTAACGCCCAAGAAAAAATGAGTAACAAAATGGCAGCATATCATCATGTGGTAAAAATTTTATCAAGGGATAACTCATTTATCCTTACTTACACGTGTATATACACCTACATATAGTACCCACACTTTCTCTCCTAAGAATTATATATATGTGCATGCAGACACGCATACACACAGAAAAAAATGTAGTGTTCTGCTTTTTGACCTTCTCTTGCTATGCTGCAGCTGCATTGAGATACCGCAGATATCTAAAACTAGCGCCTCGTGTCAAGTACCAAACGTTCCAAAAACAGTCACAGCAGAATTAATTCAGGATAAAGAGATTTAAATCTAAATATTTGTCACAGGTGTCAGAAAATTTAAGTATGTTTTGTTCTTCATTTAGTACTTAACATACATAATCAGAAAGCCAGCAGATTATTCTCTCAACCCATATTCTAGACATTTCTAATTTTATTACTGCCACGCTACTTTGAAGTGTGCTGAACTACAGCACACAGAGTGTCGCTACAGTCTTAACACACCTTGGCACAGTTTTGAGACGCATCTAAAAGCATTAACAATACATGTGATATACAGCACTGCCAAGGCTTGTTATTACAGCTGGTTTGTAGATACTAGTGATGACTCATTTCTAAGACAGGCGCTGATCAGTGCCTGTCTGAAAAACGACAAAACAAACTGCCGCAAACAAAACGTTGCCCTCAAAGGGTAAATTTGATAAGTTATACATGTACCACATCAGCACATAGGAAAAAAAATTATATGGATAAATTTGAACTCATTCAAAAAGCTTTATAGGGGAGTTATATATACACAAGAACAAAACAAAATACAATGGATTATTAAACCATAACAAAAAGGCACACCATCAAAATGAGAACTGCAAAAATATCTTAAAATGTGGTTTGACTAAAGTTTTAACCAATTCAAATTTATGCATGCACATTTGCCGTCCCACTTTCCTGAAAGAGGGTAGTAGCATAACGTAAAGGGAAAAGAAAACCCACACATAAGGAGATACATATATGAGTTTGTCAAATTTGGCCTGATGTCAATTTAAGCATCCTAAAACTTCTGGATGAACGCTTACAATGTTAAACACAGAAACTCGAGAACCTTGCTAACAAACAACTCAATTTTTAAAAATACTTACAAAATAATTCTTCAAAAACTAGCTGATACTTCTGACCTTTCCTTTCCCGAAGATTTAAACAAATAATTTGGTCCTTTGCAATCTACAGTGATGGCTCTTTTTCATAATTCCCTTTGGATGGTCTCTACAAAATACAAATGTTGTAAACTTTCAGAAGACAAACTAGCAAGCAAGCTTCTGCACAACCATGACTGTTACCAAGCGTTTCTGCTGCTAAAACTTTACAAAATCAGAGTAGTCCCTCTAATCATACACAGCTTTTGACATTTTTATAGAAAATACCTCAGTGTTTGATTTTCACAGAGGGTTCTACCTTACACCTTAATCTCGAGTTTGCCTTAGAGTTCTAGCTGTGTGTCACTAGTGGTTCTTAAAGATTAAGTTCAATTGAGAAAACAGTTAAGGTTTTCTTTCTTTTTAATAATTCAATTTACTCTTTAACTGAATTTTGGCATCAATCTGGATGCCGCTTAATTCTATCACTTCTCTGTGAATTAAAGATATGAAGACTAGACTGCCAAAGTGACTCGTCAAACCACAAAAACTCCTTTGAATGTTTAAAAGAGTTTTAACATAAATTGGAAATAAAGTTCTATTTCAAATGAAGAAGTTCAAAAGTTAAATACCAGAAGCTACACAAAAAACACCATGTTATTGTCCTGAATTTCTTAAAGACAATCTATCATCCAAAGATAACCTGCTATTTCTAACTGCTCATGTTTTTTCTTCACAGTGACAGTGAAACCAAAGTGCCCACATAAAGACTGTAACTCTCTCCTGTGGCTTTACAATTTGTAAACTTCCAGGATAGTATACATTACCTAAGAAAACAGGATGTGCCTTCCTCTTTTCTCTCCAGCAATCCAAAAAGAGATAAAGAGAGAGAGAGAGAGAGAGAGAGAGAGAGAGAGAGAGAAAGAATGACAGCATTTTCCTGTGTAACCAGGAATACACACTTCTAAGCAGTGTTCTCTATCACAAGTACGAGCCCGTGCCCATATCCCAGTCATATACATTCAAAGTCTGGCTCAATGGCATGAGTTTTGAATTTCCTAGAGTAGGAGCCAATCAACTAAAATCATAGGACAGTTAAAAAATAAAACAAAACAAAAAAACCCGCAACACCTTCATGGATTATGAATACAAAGGCAGTGAAGTGTGGTCCTTCTGGGAAAAATACACTGTCAGTACTACTCGGTACAAATGACGTTTCTAGAAAAGTGTTTCACATTGAAGCTTCAGTGTTTCTAGCAAATCATTGTCTCTATCCCTGAGACAGCCCCTTAGAGGATGGTCTGTCTGGACTGCAGGATTCTTAAAATGACTCCGTGATTGAATTTAGGGACACTGAGAAAGCCGCTGAGGGGTGGGAGTGTCCAACAGCCATGATACCATAGAAAGCAGCCTGAGAAATACTCTTTACCCGAATACACCTTTCAGTTCAGTGATCATCACCTCACAAGAGCAGCAACAACAAGAACAACAACAACAATTGGAGGAGAGCTAGCCATTAGTTCCTGGGAAAGCAGCGTTTCCCTCCCACTTATGAACTAAACTGCTTTACCAGCATCGTCTTCTCTAAATTTTAATCTATATGCAGAATGACCCTGTGTCCTGGAGGGGAAGACATACAACATAACATGGCTACAACGCCATAAGAAGTGCATTGCAACCTACGTTATCTACTTACAACCCTCTCTCTGAGGGACAACAACTTGGTAATATGCATGTTGCAGTTGCTGAACATCAAAAGCTTCTGGGATGAGAGACTGGGGGCAGGCAAGAAAAAACTACCCTCATTTTAATGAAAAAGTGCTGTAGGCAGCCAGGAGCAGCAATGACAATCCCCTCCCCAGAATTGATTGCACAGACTCAGAGAGGTCCAAAGTCACACTAGAATCTCTGAGGCACTCCTGGTTCTGAGAAAGAAAAGTCATGATCCAGTAGTCTTTGCAGTACTGTAGACCGAGAAAACAAACCCGTTTCTATTTCTTAACAAAGCCAAAGCATCATCTCATAGGGATCACATTCACCATTTCCGCCGGTGTCTCCAGTCTCACAGTGTTGAAATGGGACTGATCAGCCTACGATGGATTGCACATCACCCAAGGAGAAAGGAAGGCATGGAAAAAGGCATACAGTACGTTATATACTGCTTCACAACCATGTTTACAAGGGGTGAGGAGGAAGGTGAGGGAAGAATTATTGCTGTTTCAGAACAAGATACAGGATGATATCTAAACCAAATCAAACAAGATCACAACAGTATTTTCACACTGTGGGATGATGGTTCTTGTTTCGCCCAAGGATGAACTTGCTTAGGAATTAAGGGGGAAGAGGGAGTCCTAAGAAGGGAGTCAGCTACACCTGGGATATCAGCTGCATATTGAAACTTGGAGATCGAGACTGCTTGGTTAGGGGAGCTCCTGGGGGAAGGAGATCTTTACCTTCCCCAGCTTGGCCTAGTCGATCCTCCTGTAGGCTGATAGTTGAAAACCGATTGGTGTTGCCAGCTGCTAGATTGGTGACACCCTCTGTGCCAACTCCGACACTGGAGCCTGCTTGACTGCCATTCACATAGTCAAATGATTTACTGGAGGAAGCACTGGCGGTCCTAATCAGGCTCAAACTGTTAGCTTTTGGCACCACCTGCCCAGCAGGCAGGCTGAGGTGTTTCTTAGTAGGTGTCATCTCAATTATATCTGCACCAAGGTCAGTGGATTGGTGCATGTACTGCTTCCAAGCTACTGAATCTCTAGGGCTCTCGTTGGATTTTGCTGCAGAAGAGGTTTCTTTATCCTTAGCAGAACGCCCACTCGCTGCTTTCCTTAAACTACTCTTCTGGGATACGGATGAGAGAAGTTTGGTCCCAACTGGCTGGCTGCTGAGGGAAGCTCCTGATGAAAATCCTTCGTCAGCATCATTAAGGTTCACAGATTCCTCTCTTCCATTTACACCCTCAGCATCTATTGAGGAAAAAGAAAAACAAAAAACAAAAACCCCAAACCAATCAGAACATAGAGTAAGCATTGAAGTTACATAAAGATAAAAATGTACACAGAATGTCAAAACAAACTTTGTTTGCTGATTCAGATGATTTCCACTTGCTTAAAAATTGCTAATTCGTGGACAATAATTTTCCTGTTATTCACAATGTAATAAAGGAGTTTGACAATAAGTATTCTCTCAGCTTGACAATAAGTATTCTCTCAGCTTGATTTGCCTTTCCTCTATCTTACTTCGTAAGTCAGGAATATCACCCAAACTATTCCTGTAAACAAGAAGAATTAGGCCTCATTTGGTTAATTTGTTTTAGTTCTGCCTGCATGTACTGGTCCCAGTTCTCCCATACAACCAAAAAAAAAAAAAAAAGGGGAAAATCTTTTCAGACTATTTTCATCCTGGTTAGGGACAAGATGTGAGCACGTTTAGGCTCACAGTCAGAGTAAGTTACAGTGAGTACTTGGTAAGATTCAGAATTAGGTCACTTCCTAGGCCAGCAATCACAATGCTCCAACAGAAGTAGAAGGCTTCTGCTGTGTATAGGCTGGTGTTTCAAACAATGCGACTAAGCTTGCTGTTGGAGAGCAACCTAATTCCTTGTTCTCTCTCCCCCAGAGCTCACTCCTCCCTGCATTTCCAGCAGTCCTATCTAGATGCTTCCATCATATTTGCTTTAATCCGGGCATCTAGATTTTTCAGAGAAATTTCCTTGTATGAATACAAGTTTAACCTGTGAAATACTTCATGTTGCATAAGAGGCCTTTTCTGCTTCTGAATAGGGGCTGTTAAGGAAAAGGGGGGAGGAGGGGAGGTCCAGAAAAATTTCCTTATTAAATCCTTGGTTTCAGTCCTATAATATGATCGTGGCTGTACACAAATAAACAGACTTTTTTGCAATCTTATTCCAGTTCTTGTTTTAAGCTCCAAGTACTTTATTGTTTCACTGGAAAGCTGAATAGCATTTGAAGTTCAAAACTGAAAATGGAGCTTGAGGTCTTTGCTCCAGGTATCTTGCTCCAATAGGTAAAACCCATGAAGTTTAACTATGTTTGCAAAAAAAGGAAACATTCAGGCTACACGAATTTGGTTTTTCTTTATAAAACCTGTGGAGCTTGACTATTTGTGAGAAATCCACAAAGCCTAATGCATCCGTCACAGACGCAACTGCTGTATGACTTTACTGGCAGTTTGTTCAGCCCAGCGTGCCACTAAGCAAACACACATTTCTCTCTCTGTTGTGGAACGGGGAAGAAGCAGTGGCAAGCATCTAACAGTGTCTACCATTTGAGTAGAACCTCATTCTTTCATACTGATTGTTAGCAATGCACTAAAGAGCATTAAGTTACGGCAAGCAGAACAGGCACAAAGCCTTCACTGTTGCTGCTGCTTCTGTATAAAAAGCATATAACCTGATCCAATGTCACGTTTCTGAAGCACAGAGTGAAAATAAAACATTATAGTTCCGTTATTCCGTTTGTTTTAAACTCACTTCTCTTTTTAGGAAACTTTGCCTTAGAATTACTATTATTGTGCATCAGCCTACAAAAGATGTCCAGCCTTCGCCAAGTCAGACTATTCTCAGGCCTCTCTCAGAATAACGCAATGAGAGGTTATTCTGTCATTTCGTACAGTTCTCTGACTCATTAGCCTCCCAAAAGCAGCAAGATAGCTTATGTTACTGCAGTCTTCCTCCCTGGGTAAAGCCTTTAATCTTAGAAAAAAAAGGTTTTTTAATTTTCAAATGATATCATTAAAATGAAGTGTGTTGCACTTGCTTTAACTTCCGGCATCCATATTTAAAACACATATCACTTTTCCCCGTTGGATCAAACTAGGCCTTCATCTTCTTATTAAGACATGCATGTATTTTCTTATATTAGACAATGAGATATTTCACTCAAAATCCACATCTTCATTCCCCCCCAAACCTTCCCACACATAATCATCAAAGGTACTAATAAAAGGATGATGTAACTGGAACATAGTGAAAGCACTTTTTCAATAAACCAGCATTTTATATTCCTTTATATCACCATGCAAAGCTGGATGAAAGTGTGTTTGGTTACAAGCAGCAATAGCAGCAGCTAAACTCCCCTCTCAATCCTTTCTCATTCAAGCACAAGACAGGCAACTTGAAAGAAGGTATCTCCAAATAATACTAGTAAGCTTTCTATTTTTACAAGAACATGAGCACTTCTTCACAGTTTATGTCAAAGCATTTCTGAGTAACAAGATGTACTAAAGTAGACACTCCTATTCAGAGTCAGTGAAGCAAAGTCACACAGCAAAAGTGGCATTTCATCCACAGAATTTAGAGGGAAGACTGAGAGGGTTGTTGCAAGCTTTGGATACTGCAACTACATAGAGGCCCAAGCAGCTCAGCAGTAGTTAAAAATGAAGAAAATAGAGAAGACAACATGCACGAGAATTTGTTTAGTTAGAGCCACGTATCTAGGAATATTCTCAGTGGGACTGAAATTAATTCAGGGACTGAAGTAATTCAGTAAACATATCTTTTCCCAATGCATGTTATTTTTCCTCTAAAAGCTGCTCTCAGAAGTAACAAAAAAGTTTGATTCTCTACATTCTGTTTTGGGAAAAAAAAAAAAATACAACTGCATCCTGCTTTTTAGGAAGTTTTGATCCATCCAATAGACCAATAGGACATTTGAAAAAAAAGAAAGCTAAAACACTCCTCCCTCCCAAGCCCTCTAATATTATAATGCCAGAATAGAAAGAGCCAGTGCAATATGACAGAAAGCAGGTCAACTGCACTACAGCGTCTCTTCAGGGTTCCCATTGTTCCCTATTAGGATCAGTACCTCTCCAAATAATACCTTATCGATGCCAGTACATAATTAATCTTGCAGACGTAGATGCAGCATTCTCCACCGACCCAAAATAATGCACATACCTACTACTACTACTGCAGGAGAATACCTTTTAAAGCATTACCAAGCCATTCTTGAAATCTTCTGCCATTTTGCTTTCATTAGATCAAAACACTGATCTGAAAAGGGGTTTTATATAATTCAAGTGACATTTATTCTGTTTATCTTTCCCATGTCTGAAGGTTGAAAAGTCACTAAAAATGATCAGTCTCTTATGGTATTGTCTGGTATGATAATGATTTTTATCAAAGGCTAACCTTTGATGCTGTAAGATCAGCATCAATAAAACAGAGCACTATATATACATACACACAACCATACTGTAAACCAAACTCCATTCCTTGGCCTCTTCCCAGATGCTATCAACTGGCAGAATTCAGTTTGCCCAAGCATGTAATTATATATTATTAATGTTTAAAAAATTAAAGGATATTCAACCCACTTCTATTCAGGTAAAGCAACAATCCATTCTCTGAGAACATGTAAACGATAAATATATCTTAAAATAAATTAGGACTAGAAGGCCGTATCTTTAGCATCCTCTTTCCCACTTCCCTTCTTTCCCAGAAGCAAAACTGAAGACTTCTCCATATTCTTCAGGTCATGCACATGCAAAGGTTAGTAAAATAGAGTAAGACCAATAGAATAAACGAATTTAGGAGAGGACAGGACTCATTTACTGAGCATGCTCAAACTCACTATGCACCAAGGAGTACACTATAAACCCACACTAAACATTTTTATGTAACTGTCCTCTACAGAAGCAGGGTATCTTAATTACCATTTGATAGCAACTCCAATTAATGGTAAGGATTCTGTGATAACAGTGTATTAAATCTTTAAATTCTCCACATTATTGTTTCTAGAAGAACAAATTTGAAACCTATGTAGCTCATACCCAAATCTGCAAATAAATCTCAGTTTTGATCAGCTGATATGCTTATAGATGTTAGAAATAGCAAAGGAATGTTCAGATAGAAAAGGAGACTTAAGATAGGAGGACTCTTGAAAATATATTTATCTAAATTCACAAGAAATTAATGAGAACGTTCATCATTTCTGAAGCTGAATCATGAGTCAAATTCAGTGCTCAAAAGCATGCCTCTTATAGAGTAAAGAAAATTAATAGATGAGCTTAAGTAAAATGAATCTCTACCAGCTACTCCATCTGCTATGTCTGGCTGCAGGAGCAGACATATTGAAGTCCTACAGCATTTGTGGACAGCATGACTGAGAAAAAAAACAATTGTGTTTAAAATTTTTAGAAACATGACAACCTGATTTCATCTTTAAGATTGAAGTTTTGGGTTTTTTTTGTTTTTTTTTTTAACTTCTTGTTTTTAAAGCAGCCAGTTCATTCATGTGAACTAGTTGTAAGCGCCTGAATCTTCAGTTAAAGGAAGAACATATAAAAGCATTAGATAGGCTTGACTTTTAATGGAAACAAGAAATTTTGTTCTTGGAAATTTCAAAACCACACACTAACAAGACACAAGTGGAATTAAGTTGTAGGCTTATCCATTTACACACTATACTCACTACTGTTCAGGACTATATTTATGTTCACCTGGTGCATTTTTTTTCCTTCTGAACATTAGATTAAACATGCTCAGTAATACAAAGTTTCCAAGCAATCCCAAAGCTCTTGGCTAATTTCCTTGTCTCTTTTTTCAAGCCATGCCAAGCAGTCTTTCACCACACAGATGCAAGCCCCAGGCCAGCCCATGTGATAACAAAAGGTAGTACCTGACCTGATGTTAGGTATATAGGGGATGCGTGTATTGCAAAGAGAAGCTAATACACCCTGGGATAGCGGAAACACACACTAGAATGGAAAGAAGTTCTGGTTGGGGATAGGGAGCCAGGATCCTCCTCCAGCAACTGCCTCACTGACTTCTGCCTCCTCATCTCTGTCCTACCCTCTGTTGTGGCTGCTGTCAAGGTGGGCTCCGGGAAGCCATGCTCAGGGGTCCTGCGCATCAGCACCTCCCCCTCTTGCTCACGTTTGATCCCTAGGTCTGTGGAGCCGTGTTGGATCGGTGAGCCAGGTATGCTTGAGTCAGCCTCGTTTGAGAAGTCAAAGCCATCTGGGATTCAACATATAACATTTTAGTGCTTTTCTGTTCCTTTCTTGGTATTCCAGCCCAGGCAGGGAAAATAGAAGATTTAAGTGGACATGGAACAAACACAAAACACTACCCATGCTTAGTTGAAAATTGTGAGAACATCCACATAAAGGGACAGGTGGGCTATACTGCAGACCAGAGAGAGACTAGCAAATGAATATAATGGCAACTACAGTAAAGACAAACACAACCAGAATCCTCAAAATAGAAGACACTTGCTTCTTGTCCTGGGCATCCCGATTCAGCTGAGGACCAGAGGTCATTAAATGCCTTGGCACATGATACAGAAAGGGGAAGAAAAAAAAAAAAAGTATAAACAGAAAATGCAATCTTTGTTTTCAGACTCCTCTACCCTCAGTTTATTTTTAGGTTATTCTACTTTTTACCTTCAGTCACTCAGGCAGTTTTTTTTTTAATGGATGTTTTATACATGCAGCATCAAAGCTTTTTTAAGTATGGCAAAGTGATTTCAAAGTAAGCTCTTTGCTACCTACACTGAAGATATCATATCAAGGTAAATATTACTACACATTTTTCCTTTTTCGTAGAGTCAAGCACACTTCCATTTGTCATAAGTGTTCACTAAGGAAAAACAGAATATTCCTTAGCTATCCAATGCTAGTTCATGACATATTCCTTCTGTAAACTGGACCATATGATGGTAGAAATGACGTTCAGCTCTTCCATCTCCCACTGCCTTCAGTGGGCTCTAGTTAGCTAGAAACCTACCAAGGTCTGGATAATAACATTGCTTGAGCTATTTATGATGGGAGGCAGTTGAGTTTTAGTGTGGATTAAGGAAAGAACTCAAATTCTAAGCTGAACTCTGCCAATTTATGCTGTGCCAACTCTACAATTTTATGCTGTGTAACATGGAGAAAGAAAAAAGTCTTACATAACATTTTCCAATGTCTCTGTTTACTTACCTACCTCATGGGCTATCATCAAGTAAAGAACAAAACAAACGCTAAATGTTCATGTTCACACAGTGCTCTGAAGATGTAGAATACTATACATTGTTACGGAGCATAGCCTTTCAAAAAAGTAAATATTATTCCGCAAACATTCAAACTTGGAAGCCAGGTTACACTGATGGAGATGAATACAGTACGCTACAGTATTTGCTGTTGGCAGAGAACGCTCACCTTCTCTCCTCCAGCGATGACGACGAATAGAAGCTGTTGTAATGGCAGTCCGAGAAATCCTCGGCACTGTGGGAGTAACTTCAACTTTCAGTACCTTCTGGCCTTCTTGTGATGCATCAGGAGCATCAAAGGGCAGCGAGTTCTTCATGGCATTTGCAACCTAAGATAACAGTAAAATACTGTAATACCACCATCCTTGATGGCACTAAACGGCGCTATTAGACCTCTTTGCTGCATCAGAAAGAGGAGGAAACTAAGAATTGTTAATTAGGCCAGACGTGGCACCATCTCAAAGATTCACAGTTGATATCCACATTGAAAAGCTCATCACAAACCTACATACAGCTGGATTTTCCACATGTTTTTCCTTTCTGAGGGAATCCATTTTGTTCCAGATCTGCCACCTATACTGACAAGAGGACAGGAAGTTCTCAAACCAAGTGAGACGGCCAAATAAGTAGGAAAATAACCCCAATACCATTCCAGTCACAGAACTAGGTCACAAGCCAAGCAGATGCAAACACCATATGTACATGGGAGACACGGTGCCAGCTTTCCCCAAAAACAAGGTGTTTGGGCTGCAGCTTCTTGCAAGATTTTAAAAGAACTGCAACTTGTGCAACAAGCGTCAAATCATTAGAATACACTGACCTTTATTAGACCTCATCTTTTATTGTAATAACCTATTATAAAGCCAGAAGTCTTGTTTTGCAACTTTGAGGGAACAAACGACCTCTTTTGGCTTTGCTGTTTTAGTTGCTCCTGTTAAAGTTACTGTAAAATGGCTTTGGAGGATTAGAGATTTACTTTCCTTTTTTGTAAAGAAACTTTCAATTAATGTTTCCTAGTTTACAAATAAATTGCTCTAAAAGCAAACGCATGTACTAGTTCATGAAAAGCACCTGGGTCTCTATGGTTTGTGCAGCATTCAGCAACATAAAGCCGCTGCACACAAAACGTGATTAAAAGAAGTGAACTCACCTTGATTTTCCAAAAGCTATTGATTTTTAAAAATGTGTCTAAAAAAAATTAGACACATTTTAAACTTAACATCACAATTTCTTTCACAGATCTGACGTGTTTCCTATACATCTGACTTCCTGCATACTCTTTACTCCCCCTTCAATAAGGACAGTAGGTTTAAAAAAAAAAAAAAAAAAAAAGAAGGGTTAGAGACATCTAGATTTTAAATAAGACTGTGGAAAACATATCTAGCTAATCTTGGTAAAATCCTACCTAGCAATAGTTCCCACCGTTATTTGGGCATGCTACAACAGGCATTATGAAAAGCAATAGTATGTTGCCTCCCAATAGATTTTCTTATACCAGTAATTAAAAAAAAAAAGAATTGATCACTGGATGAACTTCAGAGATCAAAATTCACTGTATGCTGTATGACAATAGAAATAAATCTCTTAAATCCATGTAGTCTGCTTGTTAGCTCAAGGCAAAACAGGTAAATTTTACGTTAAGATTCAGATAAAATAAGGTTGGCGGCTCTGCCTACTCAAATGAAATACAGATCTGCTTTAGAACACACATTTTGCAAGATACTCCACTTTTCTGACAATATGTAATGTTTTTCTTCATTTTAGACCATGTTCTTTTTCTGCTCTGTAACAGAGACAAAAAAAGTGGCACTTTGTTTATTGCATGAGGTCTTGTGTCTTAGCTGATACAACAGTATCGACTGTTTAAAGCACTGTTAAAAAAATCAAGCACTTCCTAGTTTTGTGCTATAAGCAACATTTTCACTTGCTCTCCCCAACCTAGTGGCAAAATTAAGACACTTTTTAATTTCATCAATATTGCCTCAATACTATAAGGTTACCAGAGGCCTTGGAAACGTAAGGGACATCCAACAAGCCCCTTAAGCTCCCAAAGCCCACATACGCTAAATTTGCTTAGCTAACGAATAAATCTTTGTTTAGCATCTGCAAAACACAAAGTAGGGGAGATCTACTACACCACTGGAATGGATCCCATTGGCCTAACTTTCTGTGTACCATTTGTCTTGTGAAAATCTCAGGTAACGTTTGATAAAAAAATTCAATGCATACTGTATCTCCCAAGAGCTACATGCATTAAAGGTGTTTACTGGTATTATAATAAAGTAAAAGCAATTTTTTGCATGCTGTAACAGGCAAAAAAAAAAAAAAAAATCAAACAATCATGGAAAGAAACAAAACTAGCTGAAAAAGTTATGCCGCAGATCACAGAATATCAACTAAATCACTAAGACTTAACTTTCCAGGGGCTGGGATGGCTGCCATATAGCTAACCCTGATTTTCTCCAGCTGCTGTTGTGATCCTGCAACTCTCCATTAAAAGTCTTCACCGCTGACTTGCGATCTGACTTCTAACCAGCACAAAGATTCTTGGCACCACTGCAGAAATGCTCTTTATCGTTCTCCCTTCCACTCATCCAGCTTTGCCTCGCCCTTTGCTAGCCGGTTCTCTCAGCCTCGTCACTACCAGTGAACTGCCCTCCTATTCGCATATAGGCCTTTTTCCACCTTGTCCTCCTGAAATGGTACAAGCCTCGCTGCATTCATCTTCTCCTTGACCATAAATAAGACCTCAGAAATTCATTTCTGCTGTATTGAACCAAATCAGATCAAGTTCAACATACATACAGTGGTTTGTCTCCCTGCCTTCTAGAGTTGCAGCCTCTTTTGTGTAGGGACCTTTCTCAGTAAACAGAATTAAAAACTAAAAATTAGTAACAGAAAGCTTCTGCAATAGGACCAGAAAAGTGACAGAGCACTGGTTGGGCCTTTTAACAGCTGGCTCTTTTAACAACACAAACTGTACTTCTGGGGACAGAGGAGAACCATATGGCAATAAAATTAATCTAAAAAATAATCGAATGCAGCAGTAACACTTTGAAACAATCCAAACAATCAGTTTGCATGAGTCACAGCCCTTCTCATTCAGGAAGAAAAGCCCAACAAAACAAACCCCACCTCCCAAAAAAAGCGATTCTTCAGGATCCCAACAATTTGCTCTCATTCTGTCCCAAGCTCCCCAAGATCAACAAGCACCGACCCCACATTGACAGGCACAAAACCAAACGTACAGCAGAATTCAGTGTTAGCAAGCCAAGTCTGCAACTATCAAAGACAAAGGAGAACTGGTTTCAGGCCATACACACCCACTCTTGCTTACCAGAAATGAGCTCTGACAAAAAGAACATCCAATAAAAGTAAGTACATCAATTAAAAAATTGGATAAAAATGCTGTTTTGTTTGCATAGGGACTAACTGACCTATGCTGCTTTACTACCAACCCAGGAAAGTCTGGGTGCCTCAGCACTCAAGACAGGGATTTCATATTGAAACTTCATGCAGGACACTTGTGCTCAGCCTAGTAAGAGACTGGCTGACTGGAAACGAGCTACCTCCTGAGTCCAGGCTATCTTGGTAGAAATACTCGATCTGTTGATTAATTTTCCCCTGTTGAAAACCCCAGTTTTCTTGGCAATGAAACTGGTAGCCAGCATTTATTTAAAAGTTTACTTTTCTACCCCCAGAAAAAGCTTTTTTCTTGCATTACTTCCTGCCCTCGCCAGTGCAGTGTCTCTGGGCAATGGTGAAAAAGCGTGGCTTGGAAAAAGACTTCTACGTTTCAGCTATTTCATAGCTTCCTGATGCTGCTATTTCAACTTTTCTTTAGTGTGTACAGGCAATATAAAACTGTTTAAATAAGAGCACTGAATTCCTATATTGTGAAAAATATTTCTCCAAGAGACATACCCAAATACAGGGACTGTGAAGTTTCTCATTTTGATGATGACTGATGGCATGAATTACACAAATGGCCTAAGTACAGAGAGCTAAATATAATCTTAATGTGGTGGATTGCCTAACTCCTAAACGGACTTCAAAGAATGTGCTGCTGTTAGGCAATCCTAGGCAAAGACTGATGATGGAGCTTATGTGGGAGGATGCACAGACGGTATTTTATTCATTGCCAGTAGTTTTAAGCAGTTTACATACAAAATTTTATAATGCCACTAAATTATACATATCTCCTGGAGAAAACAACTAGGCGAAAGGAGTCCAGTCTTTGAAAAGGTCAAATCACTTGCAGGTACAGCATGAGGCCAAGGACATGAAAATCATCTTTTTAGGAATTCGACAATTTCATAAAGCTGCCTTTTACCAATGGCAGTAAAGCATGGTGGGAAACAGCGATGACCAGAGCGTTAAGAAGAGAGTGTACGGATGTGCCTGCACACAGATGTGCAAAAAAACTGACAACCAGGGAAGGGGGAGAAGATTGGCAGTGTTGCCATCATTAAACAATTGGTCTGAGTGGCAAACACAGCTTTGCAAAAACAAAGACATTCTAGAAGATTCTCTCAATTAAAAGTCTTCTCAAAAAGCAAACTGATTAAAAAAACACTCAGGACTGAAAATCATCTTATAATCAACTGAATTAAATTCCAGATCCTCTCATATACCTCTTAAATGTAGTATATTCTGATAGGGTGGCTCAATTCCATAGGTTCAATATTCAATTTAAAACACTTTCAATCTGATAGAGCAATGAGTCATTTCCAAAAGGAAGCAGCTATTATAACAATTCAATGGATAAGATGTATTTAAAATGCAGCACTCACAGAAAGCCTCCAGATAAATTTCCAGCCAGTATTAATTCATCAAGAGAACAATTTTACCTTATTGGAGAAGACAGGGATGCCAGCGTGCCACATAAAAAGATTTTTCCCAATCCACTCCTTTCTTTGTTATGCAAAAAGCAGTGAAAACTTTCTGCTGTTAGTTCAGAGGAGGATCAAAGCCTTCCAGCCACAACTCTGACAGAGAAATTGAGATAACATTCTACTCTACTTATTTTATTCTCCTTTTTTTTTTTTTTTTTTACTTTGATCCCTCATTCCCATATCTAACAAAAATAAAATCCTTCCATTCCTCCTCTCCATCGGTTAGCCTCTTCATCCTCCCCAATCACATCCACCTCTATCTAGCTCAATTTCATATCTCTCCCCATTTCATTTTTATTTCTCTCTTTTTATGATTACAGCAATTACAGTGGAAACTGGGAAAAAAACAAAATAAAACACAGAAGAATACCAGTCTGTTGCTGCTGCTCTAAAAAAGGAGAAGGTTAACACTTGTGTGACTTCAGTCAGTCAAAATCTGACTTTGACTCTGGATGTAAAACTCCTTTTCACTTTCAGCTCTGTCATGTTGGTGTTCTTTCTAGTGTGTTGACAGTTAAACCATAAAACATATTCTAAGCCCTGCTGAAGGTCTAGAAGCAAGGAAAACACCTTTTTTCTCCATAATCAATGCCTTACGACATATTATCATTTAGCTAAACTTCTTTGAATCACTCACAGGTAGCTGGGGCCAAAACAGCATAAACATTTTGACCTAACTGCAACACATCAGAAAATTCTAGCTGTCAGCATCAACAAGCCCTAGGAGATCCCAGCACCCTAGCTTAATACTCAAGAAGAAAAAGCATGATAGAAATAGCTATGTTGAAAACACCAGCTGCTAATGACCACTTGCAATTGGGAATGCAGTAAACGGCCACAAATGCTTTCATTACCGGTCCGTTTCAGAAACACATCTGTACTCTTCTTCATCAAGTCCATACATTTCAATGGATTGTTTCTTACCAGCAGAGGCTGTGAGTAGAGTTCAAGCTGTGCTCTGTAAATTATGTCCTCCAATACCTCCTGGCCAAGATCCCATTGACCATTATATCTAGAAAGAAAAAAAAGGTACTTATCTTTCAGTATTTTATGCACACAAGCTTGTCTTTTCTTCTGCCCAAATCTAACCCTTCACTTTTGTGTTTATGTCGAATGCTCATCACCAGCATATACTCCCAAACCCCTCTATTTCTACTAAAAGTAGAGACAGATCATCTTTGTATTAATCTTGTGGGCATAACAAAAAAAGCTGTTCCCTCATCTCTGAGAGCGATAAAGTTGATGCCAAGATCGGGACAAATTTACCCAATAAAAAAAAATAGATGAATATGTACAGATTAACATTGCTTAGCAGAACTGAATTTCTGTCAGAAACGGATTTAAGCTAACCTAGAAGCTACAAGCATTCAAGAGGACAGCATTTCATCATGTATCTTGGCATCCAAGTTCATTGCGCTTCTAAAGAAGAGGTATCTCATGGTTGCAGCAACTTTGGAAAAGACAAAGCCAGTAGCCTCACTCTTTAGCACCTACCGTTGGCGGTTCATTACCTACTTAAACGCTGACAAGAGACATTTCCAGATTATTAGCTGGCTGAGTGAGCAGGTAAGGGGAAAAATACTAATTCAGTTGGGCCCTTGTGTCACATGGCTTTCATTACGTGTTTTCAATCGTAAAACAACAAGCGTTGATATTTTAATTTATGTAAAACCAGCCATTTATTTTTCTACCAAAAAGAACCACCTGCTTACATGGCATAGTAGACACCGGTCAGCAGCTGCACCATAAAGTCAGGGTCTAACACCACTCTACCACAGTGTTCTTTCCAGTGTTTCTCATGCTGCCGGGGAAAGCCACTCACACAGAGCCTGAAAAGAGACATACCATTGTAACAAAATGCTAGCCCCACAAACATAATGTCTTTACATCACAGAGATTTTATTCTCTTTTCAAAAACTAATCATCAAAATGTAATTACTCAATATAGAACGTCTCTTATGTTGCTCTTCCAACCATTAAGGTAATTTCAAAACAGTGCCTTGAAACATGGCTGATAATTCCATGTGTGCTATATCCATACAGTCATTAAGTCCATCTATTTTCTTCGAAACATAACCAGCTTCTAAAGAATGAAGGTGGCAAGATGTGCTCTGCTGCTGCCTGCCAAGTATGAGACTCTTTCCTAGAAAATCAGTAACCTAAGCCAGTCTTCTTTAAAGGAAACACTTAAGTGGTAGGAAACAGAGAAGTTATCTCCCATCTAATATATGATGACAGAATATAGTTGCATTTTACCTGAAGTTGAACAACACAGGTATTGTGTTCCTGAAAACTACTTTCAGGTGCCTTCTACAAACACTTCTGGCCCTTGGAAAGGGGCCTGACTTCTCATATACTGCATAGCACTGAGTATGCACAGAATAATTTTTTTCAGAATTTTAATAGCTGAATCTTCACCATGGAAGCAACATATGGCCACTAATTCATTCAATGTACCTTTATGCTTTTTCTAACTCAGATGGGATTTTGTTCATAAAAGAAAGTAATGAGCAGTAGATCTTAAAAGCAATGGAAACAGTGAAAACTACTGTCCAATTATTTATTTCCCAGCAGACATTTCAATGCTTAGCTTTTACATAGTATAAAGATCTAGTAACACCTATATTCGTTTTTCCATTTAAAACTAGGAAAGTTATTGCATGAGCTTCGTGGGCACATACTGATATGGATCAAAATACAGGAAAGGCAATGAAGATGCCAGTTAGCCACAAAAAAAAAGAAAGCCTTCAAAAAAACCTATCACACAAAAAAGCAGCATTACATTTAATTAATGCTCTTACCAACAAATGACATCTTGTACTTGTAAGAAGAAGCAGTATGTGCCTATTTTTGTTGTTTTCCCTTTTTGAAGACGAACAAATACCTCTGGCTAAGAATAATAGCTACTATCTAGATAAAGAGCCTCCCAACTCATCAGTTTTAATCTAAAACATATGCAGTCTATTACTTTGAAATACCTTTTGCACCCTCAGAAACGAAAACTGTGGCCTAAGTTGCTTTGTAGAAGAAAAGCAGATGGCTTGACAAAAACCCAACAATGCCACAGTGAGAATTAACTGCCAGCCAGGCACAGCCTGCTCTCCACCAAGGCATGATGCATAGATCAAAGTACCGCAATGATTCTGCGGGCAGCACTCCAGATCAGGAGCACAAAAGTTTTCAGAAGAAACCACAAGGTGAAGTTTTAACACAGCTATCCATGGATGATCCAGAAAATTTCAGTTTCAAGATTAATCTCATCCCTTTTTCAGGAAGAAAAAGGACAAATAGAGATTCCCAAAAAAATTTCCTAAAAGGAACATGAAAATACATATATAAATGAGATTTCCTCATTCAGAATTGTTTGTTGCAGCAAGTCCTGTAACTACACATTTGTCTGCAGCATGCCATATACTCTATGTCCTCAAATGTCCTAATTATAAGGATAATCACTTCATGAAAGGGGAAAAAAAAAGTGAAATACATTTAAAGAAATGCACAGTACAGTGCCACAGCAGGCTGCTGGTTCACGAAATTTCCAAGATCTTGTGCCCAGATGACTATCAAGAGACAAGGGAAAACCAGAAACCAAAGATCTGAAAGATGGGGAAGTGCAGTACAGGAAACTAGAAAATAGTGCAGCTATAATTCACTGCGTCAGGCCAGAAATAATCTGCAGTTAGAGACTGCTAAATACAGTCCCAGAACCATGAGTTATAAAGCTTTTCAGAAGTTTAGGCTTCTGTTTGAAATACTAATGACTCAATTTGATAACAAAGATATTATTTTCTTGCCCACAATCTTTTTTTTTTTTTTTTAATAAAATATCTATATAACAACTCAAGCCAAATTACAGGTACTTGTGATAACATAAACAAATACATTTATGAAACAACTGAGAAACAAAAGATTACCTAAGGCATCTACAAAGGTCAGTCAAACATCTTCCATTGAAAGAACACTGAGCCTTTCACTTACAGGTGCACTTGCACAAGAAGGAGATGCATTTATCCAGCATTCAGAGGAATTTTTTTTTAACATTTCATTAAGTAAAATTGTTTTATTTGTTATTGAAGTTTGTACCCAGCACAACAGGGAAGAAGCATCCCACAATCTAGTTAATAGTCAACTTGTTCTTTCGCTTAAGACATATAACAGCAGGGGCTCTCACCTCAACATGCTACTAAAAAACAATGTCTGCTAGGAAAACGATAGGAAATGAAACATGGTGACTTGAACCTTCACTGTTATTCATACTAGACAAGATAGTACAAGCTCAATGTTACATATTCTATATTGAAGTAATTTCTAGGGAGCATTAGGATGCTGATAAAAGACTAGCAATTTATAGAGCAGGAGCTCCATAAAGGTACATAAAGTCTGAATGATAAAAAAAATAAAAGTTGAAAATGAAACTCATTGGATAAGATTGTTTTGCCCAAATACTATTTCATTTCAGACGGTGGGCTGCTATCCAAAATTATAGCTCCAATTTCAGAATGGACTGCAGAGCCTTCTGAATCAAGTGACCTGGAACGTCCCCACTTACCACTTTTTCAACTAGAAAATGTGTTAAGAAAGAACACTCGTGATTAAAACATGAGAAACAGGAGAATATTTAGGGCAGACAGGAATCTCCCCCTCTCCAAGTTACCCTCTTCACCAGACATAAGCCTAAAGCCAGATGGACAAAGACCAAGGAAGTCTGAGGACTCCCGATAATGACTGAGCACAACTGCCAAGATTGTCCACAGTAAGAAATGGTTTCTTCATCAAAAGAGGCACTCTACCCTCCTGAAAAAAATAAAAAAAAAAATTCTTCACTAAAAGCAAAATAAAACCTTTTAGAGTTCAGCAACCAAAAACAGAAAAAAAAAAGTTTAGAAATGCAAAGGCAGCATTATTCATATGATCAGCTATATTGGCCAACTTTTCACTCTATTAAGGGCTGTTGTAGAAAAATGTTCGGGTAGCTGCAAAGCCTGTATTTTGTATCCAACAGCTTTTTAGACTTTCTCAAGAAAACGCCACTCTTCTAGTATTTAAATGACAATTTTTAACTTGACCCTAAATATCTTATTTAAAGCACTCCTGCTTATTAGGTTAGTATTTTCTAATCTAGAATTTGGTGAGAAAACTTTAGTGGATTTACAAATGGAAATCAGGCTTGGGAAACGTGTCCATTATTTGTAATAATGTACAGGATGGGACAGAATTTACGTTGATTTCACTAAAACTTTTTTGTAATTTAGAGTAGAGCAGAAAAGCTTGACGTCAGAAAGGAACCATGAGCGTCAAGGTCACAAAACGGTTTTAAAGGCAGACAATAGAAAGTGTTGTCAAGAAGGAACCCTTCAACATGGAGAGAAGTCAGTTTTAGGGTGGTTTATTTTACACACCGTGGGTGTGTATATGTAAAATAAAAGGCCCTCAAGGCAAATATAATTTAAAACCTAAATACGTACCCAAAAATTAAAAGAAAAAAAAAAAAAGAAAACTCATACCATCTTAAGAGTGCACACTATCTATTGCTTTTACAGCACCCAAAACAGCACTCCACTCCTTTTAGAGCAAAACAACTCCAACTATAAATGTCTATTATCTGGATTATACAGTTACAGAACTAATGGGTATAATGACCAGAAAATAAAAGAGTTAAAGTAAAGGTTATTATCAGGCTACATTAAATGCATGCTCAAATGAACAATAATAGATTAATTGTTTTAACTGAATGAATACAGTCCTGTGGAATCTATATTTCAAAGATTAAGGAAAATGACTACAACTCAGAACTGGAGTTGAGATGGGATTTTTGAATATGCACATTTTGTAATGGTGATGACAAGGTGCAAGAAAAAACACACACTTCTTAACTAACTTTTATTCAATTCATCACAGAATAATCCTATTGCTGAAAATAGTTCATTGCACCCCAAATTGGTGCACTGTTTAAAAAACTAAATCCCTAGCCTATGAAATGGTGTTCCCTTTCCTCTCTATCTGAAGAAAGGTTCTAATTTTCAACATACTTGGTAAATTCAGCATAGCCTTAGCTCAAAAGAACATGATGGAAGCAGACCAACAAGTGATCCTTTCCCCATCAAAAATTATGGGGAGAAAAAAAAAACAGGATAGAATTGTTACTGTATGTGTGTGTTACTATGGGATATACACTGTGAGAAGCTATTATGATCCTTCTCTGCTAACACCCTTGAATTGCAAGTAACAGTCTCTCACAGTACTCTGCTGAAGCAAACAAGTTAAATCAAAAAACATATAAAGAGATTCTCTGTTTGGGGGTAAGAGGACAGAATTTATCTAACTTTAGATAAAAACGCTGGTAAAAGAACAGGCATTTGGGAATATCAGAGATACTTGAGATTTTCAGAACAAAAAGCTAGGATCTTTGCCAATCAGCTCCTTCCAAGACTATTAATGTAAGAAGTTATATAAAGAACATGTATCGGAGTTTGAGAAATCATAATGCAAGCACCTCCTCTAAACCATCCAAAAAGCAAGACAGATTAATATTTGGAAATAGAGGAAATTGGTGGTATTCCTAACAAGATTCTGAAGCTGACCATACTGAAAAATGTCTTAAAGATATGTAAAGCCAATAAATGCAAATAAGCCACAGTACCTTCAACAGACTAATTTTCCCCAAAACTCATTGTTTCAGATAATGAAGCGTTACATAACTAGAACTAAAGCCAATGCAGTAAGAAGATAATCCATGTGTTTTTCTTCATGCAAGCACAGCATCAAGCTACCAATTAAGTTGCAGGACTAACCGAAAGTTGTATCTTTCAAGCTATCAAACACAGCAAGTAAATCCATTCTCTTTTGCTGGATGAATATTCAGAAATCTAGATGTGCTCTGCAGGACTATTTCAAAGGCAAGTGTCTCACCTGGAACCCATCCTACAAAGTGATTGGTAAGAAGAGGCAGGCATATAGACAATAGCAGAATTGTAGCACAGCATGAGAAAGCTCAGCACCTCAAACCTGAAAACAGACAAGAGCAAAACCTTGCATGGTTTAAATTCTTAATATTCCACTAGAATTTTAAACATAATTCCACATCTCACACTCAAAAAACACCCCACAGGAAAAAGTATCAGATGTCAGGATTTGTGTGTTTACATCTCTCTTTCATTTTAATACACTAACTTGAAAGAGGCTATTAAAGGCTCAGTATTAAGCACTTCAAGTAAATTATTACTACTCAGAACAACTAGCATATGAAGGAATTATGGCATAATATTTGAACAGAGACAGCTATGGAACAGGACAGGCTTACAATAGCTTTAAAATTATTTTATCAGTTTTCCCCTGCTCTAGACATAGGTAGGGCAGGGCACTAAAATAGCCAGACATGGCCTCAGAGTCTACTGTTCAACATGGTAGTAGCTGTAGCCAACCCTTTTTGCCAAGACAGCCTGAAAATCTGGGGGAAAATATCTACTGATGGTGAATGGGGCACCATTCTTCACATGCTCCTTGCAGCAGGAACAGCAAACTCAACCCTTGAGATCTCTCAACCCTAGTTGTGTCTATCCACTCAGCTCCATTTCCCCTTTTTCTGGTGTGGGGAGAGGAGGTGTCTCAGCCTCACAGTCAAAACCGAATAATGTTATGCTTGCAGGACAAACTGAATTGACAGACATAAACCCAAAGATAGCCCTGACAAGCATGGATATACCAGAGAAGTTACTTTATCTAAATTAATGAGTAGGAGAAGAACACACCAAATTGGAAACAATAACAACAATATTATACCTCAAAGTTAGTGATTTGCTTTGCTTTGTTTCTACATGCTTAATGTTGAGAAAGGACTGAACATATAATAAATTTGGTCTTAATGCTTCAAGATTTGTTATCTGCCTAGTGAAACATCTAGAACGTTAGAATGCATCCACTTACCGGTTCTGTGCTGTAAAGGTTTCTCTTTGAGGATGAAGATCACTATAAACTACCCTGATAAGATCATGCTGACACAGAGCTCCTTCAGTCAAAGCCATGGATCCGATAGTAGAGGGCTAGAAGTAGATGGTAGGAGGAAGAACAACAACAACAAAAAAACCCAAGTAATCATACCATAAGTAAAATAGTAAAAGCATAAAAACTTCTAAAACATCAGATGAAAAGATACACATGCCTAGTAATCTGTAAAACTGAAGAGAATTCCAAAATATAGTAAAACTAAAACATAACCAAATTTCATTATTATAAACAGCCTCCCCAGTCGTAAGCAATAGAGCAGGTGGAAGTGATTGGAAGTGATTTTAAACTTTGATTCTTGCATAGCCATTCATAGTAAGTTTGTCTTAATTGCATAGGCTTTTTGTACAGCAACAGTGGGGAGTTCAACTGCTATTGAATTAATTACAGTAATTGCAAGATACTGACATTGAAACTTTAATGCAACAAGATACACTGAAAATGGTCTTTTGCACCAAATGGATACAGCTTTCATTCCTCTAATAGGTCCAATTCTAACTTGCCACAGCAGCACTCTTACCTCATGATATATTGAGGGTTTAGATAACGAAGGGATGGTGAAAGATAACACTTTGTTGTTTCCATCTTTGTCAGCAATTTCCTGAGGTTAAAAAAAACCATGAAATAAAAACCCAGAAGTAAAGAGATAGGACTTGGGATCTTCTACATCCTTAAGAGACACTTAACAGCAATAAGAAATCAAATGCTCTGACCTGGTAAGACAGTTCACACCATAAGGTCTTTATGCACGTGCAGAATATCATCAAATTTACATACACATCTAAACAATGGGAAAGACCTCGAGTAGGGACTGCTTTGCAGAATCAGAGTCTGCAACGCTTTACAAAACAGCATTGTTTTGTAAACTTCCGCAAAAAAAAAAAAGAATTAAAAGCTTTTCTAGCCCACCTGTAATTTATAACATTTATTTGTGACAGAATTGCACAGTGGAGCAAGGCTAAACTTTAAGGCCAAAAGATATAGACGCATGAGGGCTGATGAGTCACTTGCTGACAACAGGCAGTTCTTCATAATAAATCCACCACAGAGAAAGGTGAAATCAAGGGGACTGGCAATGTTTCTGCAGGCACGCTATCAGTAAGAAATACACTGAAAGCCTTTTGAAAAAACATTCTAACTGATCAGATTTTATAGTTGCTAGGCTACTATATAAGCAAAACAGCAGTTTTCAAAGCAAATATAATTTAATAAGGACAGTTATATAGAACTACATCACATAGGAAAGGAGTCTACAACCCTGACTTTTCACATTGCACTGTAAATTTCAAAGCAATGACCTCTAGTTATTTCAGTTTATGTGAAAATTTAGTCTAAAGTAGCACAGTACTTGTAGTAGGTTTTAAGGATCACAGCAGGAAGAGATCTCTTGGAATTCAGTAGACTGCAACGGATTTATTCTGGACTTTCTAAGTATTGAGAAAGTAAGATGTGCAGAAAAATATCAACAACTGAAACCAAAGGGGGGAAAAAAAGTGGGAGTCACTGTCCATTTTGAGGCCTCTTCCTTCCTGAGTTTGGAGTAAATGAAGAAACTACTCTGCTTACAGAACATTAATCCCCAACACGACTTTCAAAGGGAATGGTAAAAGGACTTATAAGAAAAAAAAAATGATGCCAAAGAGATATATATGCTACCTAAATCCAGCAAACAATACCAAAAAACAGCAAGCAATTTCCAAAGCCTTTTTTTTTGTTTAAACAGAATAAATCTAGAACAACTTGATTTTACTGATTTTAGAGCAGACACATAACAATAAAAATATTAAAGAATTATAATTTTATTGTCTCATCATGCGTACAAACATAAAATATCATTTACATGTAAAGTTTATTCTGATAGTAGAGAGAAGGCCAGTGTTTCAGGATAATGTTTTAAAATCCTATAAAATAGAAATTCTCACTAGAGAACGTCTAAATTAGCAGTACTGCCAACATATCGAACAACCTCATAACAATACAAGATAAAATATTTCCAGTATGACGTAAGAAAATAAAATGTCCTTTGCATACAACAGCCAAACTTCATCACCTCCAGTTACTTTTATTTATTCTTAGAATTACAGTTCCACTCAATACAAATATCTGCCTTAAATGCAGACATTTAAGTGCTAGCTTGTCTCACTTACCAAGTTGTAAATGCCAAGCAGCAACGCTTCAATGCAACCATTACTCTGCCTATCCCTGCTGGCAGTAAGACGTAGATAAACCCAGATCAACTCTGGCAAAAACTGCAACGTGAATCTCTTGAGCCGAACTTCAGAACTACGATAAAGTTCAAAGAGCTGGTGACAAACAGGCTCCAGGAGCTGTGAAAAGATAAAAAAGGCTAATGAATTACTGCTAGGCTTCTCTAATAAGACTGAACACAATAGCAATCGTAGGAGCTACATCACAGAGCCACTGCAGCCAGTAAAGATGACGTTCCTTGATGGCAAACAAGTGAATGAACCAAAACAATACCCATGTTCCTTTTAAGGAGGTCTGTAAGGACAGATTTTAGGGGGAGTTGGTATGCAATAAGGGGAAACGTGGCCTTACTACAGCCAGAATGGTATTCTCAAGGGCTGTCAGTATGAAATTTACTTTGTATACAGGTACTAATTTAAGACACGTGACAGACAAATGGCTTCATCTATGTGCACCACGCAACTGTAAAGGTGCAGCTGCAAGGTTTAGAAAAGTACAAAGGTCAAAAGTAGCAGCTGCTAACAACAGGTCAATAGATAGAAGCATGTATTTATTTCCTTTTTTTTTTAAAGTCTAAAATCCAACAAATATGCATTCGTTCAATACAATGCTAACTGATTTTTGTCTTGAGCTGTCCGTCAGGTTTCAGTGCAAGAATCAAAAAGGCCCTTATCAAGTGAGCACAATATGAACCTCAGAAAATATCTGTCATTTTAAGAGTCTACAATGCCAAGCCTGTTGTTTAGACAAATCCACAAAACTGATACTGAACAGAAAACAACAACAAAGTCAGCCTGCCTCCCCCCTCCCCATGACTAATGAAGTTCTTAATATCAGAATCAAAACCTACTGAAAATAAATACCCAGACTGGAATTTTCGTAAGGCCCTTGACCAATATTTACAAGCACAATTTTTTTCCAGATTGTGAGAAAGGGGATGTTCTGACCTAAGGAAAATAACTATGAGGCTCAACGTCCAAACAGACAAGAGGTATCCATGCAACCTAACTAGTCCCTATTCATACAGAAAAGTTGCACAGAATCAGAAAATTGAGGCCAGAATCTCAAATTAATCTTCTTTCTAACCTGTCATGATTTATAGCGCTCTAATATACACACAGGAAGACAGTAAACATTAAATTATACATATCACTTTTAGAGCAATAAACTCGCTACATTTTACTGACACAATAGCAACTGCACTGGTGAGACAAAAAAGCTTAATTAGGAAATACCCAGTGTAGAGCTGAAGACCAGAGAAGGTATATATGATGCCTCCTCCAGTATGCACTCCTATTCCCAGGGACATGCAGCTTGGGACCTTTCAGAGCATTAGCTGCATGCTTCATAGACTTTGACGTGTTCTTCTGCCATTGATTCGTCTAATCATGAAATTCTTAGCAGAGGGACAGCTTTTTGTACAAGCGCTTAGTTTCAATGTTTGATAATTGTGCAGCGTAATATAGCTGTATGACTGTGCAACTCCACGCATGTGTTCACGCTCAGATATTTTACTGCAGTATATCGTAGACACTAAACATAAATTTGACAGAATTTCTATCAACGTAGCTGCCTTAAGAGAGCATCCACTTTACAGTGGTCAAGGAAAGGTGAAAACATTTATTAGTGCAATTTCTAACATACAGTATGCTGGTCAGTGAAGCATGCTATTCTTAAGCCACTGATTACATAAGCTGTAATATCACATCTGTATAAGAGAAAACTTTGCTATCAGTCAAATCTCTTCTTATACAAGGCTCTGGTATAAGTACCTTGTGTAACAAGGCTTCTGCTTGACAGCTTAGTTACGCTAAGCTAAAAGGCTGTTTTTACAACAGAAGCAAAGGGAAACTTCACAAGAGAGGGAGGGAGGAAAGCTAGCACTCAGAATGCTGAGAGCACAGGGGAAGTCCAGTAACGTGGACCACACACACGTTTACAAGTCATAGATTTTTATAGAAGTAAAATACCTCAAGACTTCATCTTTGATTTAGGATTTAAATGAAATCAGAAGCCAGTAAAGCTTCTCTTACAAACACCTTGGGAGAAAAAGCCCCAGCATTGTTTTCTGAAGTTGAGCATATATTGTTTTATTTAGTATATTTATTCTCGTATTTCATAGATATAGCTCTTTGTATGTTCAGAAGATGCACATATTAAGTAATGAATCCTCTTATAATTAATATTTACTTAGTGCAAGCTCCCATCTAAAAGTAACACCAATTATCAAAACCATCTGTTACAGTCAGTGTTCAAATCCTCAGAGACAGAACTGTATCCGTGTTTTGTGAAAAGCCTAGCACATTTCGGATGTTCAAATAGTAAAAAGTGGTTAATAATTCAAAGATGACTGAATGGATTTGTACGTTTGCTTTAAAATAGAAAATACTGAAAAGAAAGGCTAGTGTAAAGAAAAAAAGAAGAAAGCTCTATGGGAATAATAAATACAAGCACACCTGCAAGGATAAAACAGGTGCAAGAAGAGCTAAGCAAATATTAACAGAAACCAGATATATATAGCAGCATTACTACAAACAGTGCCTCTACTGAATTAGAGATGACAGAAGCCCAAGTCATTTTCCATTTGAAATCAGTCAGTCTAACCTAAGTCCCATTAAAAATAGTAGAAAAGAACCTTTTATTTTAAATGAAGTCAGATCAGCAGTTAGTGAGTTTATTCTACTTTCTTTCATATGGAAATTTTATAAAATTAATCTTTTAAGTAATAGCATGCTCCCCAGAAAGATACAACAATATCTAGTCACTAGTACTGCATGCATCTAAGTACTCTCTCATTTCTATCAGTTGTCTTGAGCTGCGCAAAAGTTTAACAAGTTCAAATTTTAAACTAAGTAATTTGCAAGTTGTTTGCAGTAACTACTATAGTGCTTTGGTGCGTTCGCAGCTTTTTAAGTGCACAAAAAAAAAAGCCACTGTCACAAGGACACTGCAACAAAATATATTTTCAAAGGCATGAAGAGCAAGTTTTTCCTGACAAACTAAAGCATGTTTCTGCCTACAAAATTTATTTGGAAGCAAAAAGCTCGACAATGTAAGGAAGAACAAATGCTTCTCTTGTATCCTAGATATTTGGCTTTTCACAGAACCAGCCTTTTCCGATCAATGCTCTCAATGTAAACATTCAGATGACACTGGATAAATAGAGGAAGTGGAGCGTTTGTCGCTAGTAGTGGATGTACACACAGATGAGCACATGCTTTTTTAATAGCAAAGAACTTTCAGTCCAACATTACAGTAAACTAAGTAGCGCAGCCATCAGTCAAAACACACAAGGCAAAGAGTCCATTATAACCCTCTCTCTTCAGGCAAGTTAGAACCCTGCATTAAATAGCTTTTCATTAGCATATACATTAATTAGCATGACAAATAAAATTAAAATTTTTACTAGCTTAGATACAATAAATGACTATGGTAGAATTTTCAGACTTCAGTTTTACACCTCAGAGAGAGGCAGACTAGCCATGTTTGAAGGAAGCTGGTTAACAGTTTTAAAGCTTGGCTTACGTCGCCAGGTTTGTTAAATCTTCAGACCCATACCATGGCTTGAAGTTAAATAGAACGTACTATAAAATGCATAGCCAATATTGGAAACTCTTGTATATTTAAAGAAATCAACTGTGGTAGAAAATATGAGCTCATTTTAGGCTTAAGTATAACTCAATGGATGAAATTAGTTACTATTGGAGGAGCACTGGGTCTTGGAAGTGCTTGGTCCAGCCATTGCAAAGGTGATCTCACTTTGTTTCAAAACTGACCTTTCCAAGCTAAATCTAGATAGTTGCACGTGAATATCCAATACTTAAATTTCAGTACTGCATTATTGTTGATTTAAAATCCACAGAACAATTATGTCTACAACTATAATCCAACTTCCAAACAGTTATGAAGCTATCAAAAAAGACCTAGTACTTTAGAAGTACAATATTATACAGAGATTAATACATAGTTCAATTAAATAAGCTGCTTATGAGCCAGATCACCCAACTTTCTGTTCTAGTTATCATCTTCACTGTATTAAGCCACTTAAGGAATTTCCTAAAAGGCAAAACAATAAAAATTGTATTCTAACTTGAAAGTATGCTTGCTTTCATCTGATAGGTACACTGAAATTGATAGACAACCATCAAAGAGAGAAACATCTCAGTTGTTTGTTTTGAGTTTTAAACATGCTGGTTCCATCTTAAATTAACAATCTTAGCCTTATCAAGATAGAAGTATGTGATTCTAAAAATTCACTTCCCACTAAACAGCTGCCCCTTTCAGAAAGTCTAAAAAATAGAACAACTTTATGATTAAGCTGTACTAAAAAATTACTTGTCCATCCTGTTTAAGGTTCTAGTAAATAAGTTTTTATAATACTCTACCACAGAAGTTTTATCTTCATAAGCAATTAGTTATCCTTCTAACAAATAATGCCCTATAAAGCATGTAAAAATACTTACAGAGTTAAATGTTACCTTAGAATTACCCCAAGTGAAGAATTTACTATGGTTATACTCCTCATACATAGAATAAATTTGGAAGAAATGCAATAAAGAAATACATGCTGCCTTAAAAGGCAAATCTTGAGGTAAGCCTTCCTTGAGTTTGGGACTGCATACCTTATATTTGAGATCAGAACTGGACCCAAACAGCAAGAGCAGTTCCAAAGAGTGAAAGCTGACAAGGGTCAGTGTGCAATAACAGAAGATCACAGTTAGACCCTTAAGAAGATGCACTGTTTGCAAATAAGGCTCTTTGCATCATAGAAAATGAAATCAAATGCTTATTCTCAAAGCAAAGGAAATCTTTTAACATATACAGAAACATAAAAAAACCCCCCCCCCCCCCAAAGACAGACAACCAAAGCAAAGGTGGCTTCAACTTGGAGAGAGCGTAACAGTAACTTTAGTACAAAGAAACGGGTCACTCTGCAAGCTGTTAGTTGTAAAGCAGAAATGAAGTTCACTCCTGTGTGAAGCATTTTTTGTCAGAAAATTATGCAATCTCCTTCAAGCTGAATCAAGCACCCAGTTTCCAAAAGCAGCTGAGTTGTATCTAGGAAAATATGAAGCTTCCTTAATGTGCACTCTTGCAATTGAATTTATAAATATACAAGAGATCACAGAAGATAAATCTATTATTTTGAAACATTTTATCCAAAGCAGTTTATACAGCAGAGAGTGATATGCCTGCATAATTTATTTAGAAGTTACATTTCACACATTTTCCCAGAAATTCTCATGGCAGAAGCCAATGGAATGGAAAGCAGAGTTTTACATTATTTGCAACATGAATTATGAATGGAGCGGTAAGCTAAGTTTTCATTGTATATGTTTATACATTGTAATTAAGAACATACACAATGCTAATACAAGCAAAAAGAGTATTTGGTTGTTTTAACTGCTTATAGGATTTGATAAAAATGATTCCATCTTCCACTGTAATAGCCAGCAAGTGAACAGCACATCTGCTTTACTGAGTTTCACTGAAGGGGCTACTTTATCTCTGTTATGACTGAAAGTCGCTTTCTGGGGGAGAAACAAAACAAAACACGCTAAGTAACGACCAACAGTCAGCTGTGGCATGTAAAGCCTCGCAGACAGCAGAAAACGTATTTTTGAGAGCAGAGAAGGTTGTGCCTTACCAGAAGGGAATTACAGTAACTGTCAAAAATAAGGAGTAAAAAAAGTGGGGTGGTACCCATGTTAAGAGTACATTAGAAAGAAGATTCTTCCATTTCCACTTCTAAACTATTACAGTTTTAGATGGGGAGGTGCAAGATACAAGGACGTTAACAAAAATTCTTTCAAAATCTCCTACCTCATTGTTAGGGTCTTGAATGACCTTATAAAGAGCTGGTACCAGTGTTTTTTTTCGGTGCAATGTAGCTGCGTAACTGGAAATTTGTGTTTCAGGTAATGCCTAAAGAAGAAAAATATAAGTTATTCCAAGTATTAGAGATCTCCAGGAAAACATTCAGTCTCACCCCAACATGCAGAACAATTCCTGAAGTTCTCTAAATTTTCAGAGTTCATTCAGCACCAATTCTTCTCCATCACAATAGCATTTTAGGGCATACAGCAACTTTCAGGGTTAAGTTCAAAAGCAGCTTCAGATTTGTCTTTTCTAAAATCACTCGCTCCACATCTTGGTATGAGGACTCCACTACCTTCCCTGCTATTCCTTACCAGGCACTTTTCAAGGTCTTTAGTGATCAACTTAAGTTTTATTTAAGAGGTGCAGATAATCTAAAATGAGCACGCACAGTATCAAGTCCCACAAGCAGCCAAGCCTGTGCGTTCTGCATCCTTGACTGCTCTACACATTTCTAACAATAGTGTGCAATTTGTTTTCATAAATTAATCAATCATGTGAGGAATTACTAATTCTTAACTTAAATAATACATTAACTTCATCTCGGTTATGAAATCCAGTTTTCCTGTTCATGCATTATTCTGTATTTCATTCAACATAATTATCAACATGATAATAACTTTAAAATACTCTATGATTCTTCATGATAAAACAAAAAAAATTGTGCAGCTTACAGAGAAAAGTTTAATCAGCTAAATATTTCTATGTAAAGTTTAAAAAAACGCCAAACACTTCTACTAATTTTTAAAGATAAAATTAAAAAGTTGATCACCTTTTTAAAATTAATCCAGAGTTATCCACCTGTCAGTTAAATTCTATCAGCTTGATCTACACTGCAAGATATGCTTTAAAAATCACATTTGTATAGCAGGCAGTACTAGAAACATGCATTGTATTTTATTTATCAGTAGACTCCTTTAACAGACTCTTGCCCGCTTTATCCTTTAAAAAAGTGAATGATAGCTATATTGTGGTTTTATGGCTCATAACGTCAATATTTTATGTCCAATAATTAGCATTTTGAATGTTACTATTTGCTACTTCAATCATTCATCTTCTCAGGTCACCTTGAATTCTGACAGCCATTCTTCTACCACACCTCGTTCCGATCCCAGCATTTTCTTACTTCTTTTCCTTCTCTCTTACCTTTAGAGGAGAAAGGAAAAAAAGAAAGTAAAGAAGAGTTCTGGCAGCAAAACTTAAGTTTTGTAAAATCCTACACCAATGAAAAGCTGTTAACAAATTTCCAACAGATTTATGTAATATCAAACAATAGCAAAAGCTGCATTTCTGATAGAAAGTGGGACTGTTTGTCATTCTAAACTATTCTTTTCAGGCATTTAGTCACAAGTATTGCACATCAACAGGAGAGGAGGAAGAAAAAGGAGAAGGATTCAGAGCTTCGGGCCAAACAGTACGTTATTTAAGACAAACACACC